CTGGGAAGGATAGAAAAATGGTGGAGAGGGAATGGAATGGAGCACTGTGCAAAAGGGGCATGGCTGACTAGCTGACTTCAGCCCCAAACTCGACTGGAGGCACTCCATGCTGCAACATTTTGTTGTAGGTTCCTCTCCTGGGCACGGATTTCCATTGCACATACTTGGCTTTAGTTATAGCAGGGCAGGGGGCGGCCAATGGAACATGCTGCAGTCCACTTTGGGCAGGTGGGCAGGGCCACCTGCATGCCAGTCACCTGATGCCATGGACAGGAGCGCCCTACCAGTGGCTACCAGCTACAATGGCTATAATGCCATTTGCTGGAGACAGAGGCCGATTCAGGGCAGTGAGACTGATTCCACCACCCTGGATACCAAGCCTAGGAGCGGTGGAGGGTGTTGCAATGGTGATGTAGTGAATTGAGCAGAATAGAAGGCATTGGCCTGATCCTACAGGGCTCTTCTCATGTTCTTACCACAAGCTACTTTGGTTTGGTTTTGCTTATTTTCTTATTTTCAGCCTAGTACTATAATGGACTTAATTACAAGGCTGGATTTACCACCCACTCCACCCCAATTGTTACAAACAAAGTTAAAAAGTACATAATATTTGAACAATGCAGACTATGGAATTCTCTGCACAAAAATCCCCCCTTTAGCTTTTCTGAAACCTATATGTCTATATTCAGAGGCCTTTCGGCAACAATGAGACAGTCTCTAACTCCAGACTCAGTATTAGCCCTCCTGGCATTGGAAGTGATTTAAATTCCACCCTTGTTCACAAGAAGCTCCTAGCTCTGTTGCTGGTTGCAACCGGACTCAAAATAATCAAACACTGGAGGTCTGCATCAGGTTGCTCTAGGGATGGATAGTTTGAGAGCCTGTGGGGCACAGTGATGTATCATGGGGGGTGAACCACGCACCCCCACACGCTAGCCCACTTGGGCCCCCCCTACACCCCGCCCCTGCTCAGCGTGTGAGCCACCCCCCATCATCAGCGGGGGAGGGGGCTGCCTGTGCCTGACAAGAAAAGAGTGAAGAGGGCTCTTCACCCTCTACACCCTGCCCCCGCTTGCCTGGTCCTCGCCTGGCAGCAGCAGCAGCAGCGAGGGGTTAGCGTTTTCTGTCCTCCCCTGGGGTGGGGGCACATGTGCACACACCTGCCCTGGTAGGGCATTACCCTGTCTAAGTGTTTAACCCACTGCAGGATGATTCTAAGAGAGGATACAAAATGAGACCATTTTTATGTTGCCTGGCTTCTGACATGCTTCATAAAGAGAAACAGCATCCTGCACAGGCCCCAACGACATATTGCTCCACTGAATGCCAACTTGAATAAAATATGGGGGGAGGAGCAGGTATGCCCCAATCCACATAACTGATCACATGATGCGGTACACACACACACACACACACACACACACACACACACACACCATTTGAAGGACAATGCCCTTGAACTTTGGGGGCAGGGTTGGCCCCCTCAAATATTTTATTGGAGGGCTGAAGACCCCTTGGCCCTAGGAGCTGGTTCCTATGTTGCGCCAGGTGGTGAAGCTCCCTTATCGCACGATTCCTTCCAAAATGTCCCTTCGTGGAATCTGTTTTATGACTATGTGTCTGCAACAGTGTCCTGAACCTTATGTTCAGTTCCAGCTGCAGTGATGTGCTCTCCTCTGTCCTTGTTCTTTGGTTTTGTATTGCTTTTATTGCATTTTGATTTTGAAAACTCAGTGAATGCATCTTTAAAAACCCAAACTGTCTTTCCACTGGGTTTTTACCTGCCATATTCTGTCTGCCTCACTTCTGTTACGGTGATTGTCCTTTAAGGATGCAAGTTTGAATGTTCTGCTGTGGGGCTGAGAGGCCTGAGGATGAAATCATAGAATCATAGAATCATAGAGTTGGAAGAGACCACAAGGGCCATCGAGTCCAACCCCCTGCCAAGCAGGAAACACCATCAGAGCACTCCTGACATATGGTTGTCAAGCCTCTGCTTAAAGACCTCCAAAGAAGGAGACTCCACCACACTCCTTGGCAGCAAATTCCACTGTCGAACAGCTCTTACTGTCAAGAAGTTCTTCCTAATATTTAGGTGGAATCTTCTTTCTTGTAGTTTGGATCCATTGCTCCGTGTCCGCTTCTCTGGAGCAGCAGAAAACAACCTTTCTCCCTCCTCTATGTGACATCCTTTTATATATTTGAACATGGCTATCATATCACCCCGTAACCTCCTCTTCTCCAGGCTAAACATGCCCAGCTCCCTTAGCCGTTCCTCATAAGGCATCGTTTCCAGGCCTTTGACCATTTTGGTTGCCCTCCTTTGGACACATTCCAGTTTGTCAGTGTCCTTCTTGAACTGTGGTGCCCAGAACTGGACACAGTACTCCAGGTGAGGTCTGACCAGAGCAGAATACAGTGGCACTATTACTTCCCTTGATCTAGATGCTATACTCCTATTGATGAGGCCCAGAATTGCATTGGCTTTTTTAGCTGCCGCGTCACACTGTTGGCTCATGTCAAGTTTGTGGTCAACCAAGACTCCTAGATCCTTTTCACATGTACTGCTCTCAAGCCAGGTGTCACCCATCTTGTATTTGTGCCTCTCATTTTTTTTTGCCCAAGTGCAATACTTTACATTTCTCCCTGTTAAAATTCATCTTGTTTGTTTTGGCCCAGTTCTCTAATCTGTCAAGGTCGTTTTGAAGTGTGATCCTGTCCTCCGGGGTGTTAGCCACCCCTCCCAGTTTGGTGTCATCTGCAAATTTGATCAGGATGCCCTTGAGTCCATCATCCAAGTCGTTGATAAAGATGTTGAATAAGACCGGGCCCAAGACAGAACCCTGTGACACCCCACTAGTCACTCTTCTCCAGGATGAAGAGGAACCATTGATGAGCACCCTTTGGGTTCGGTCAGTCAGCCAGTTACAAATCCACTGAGTGGTAGCATAGTCAAGACCGCATTTTACCAGCTTCTTTACAAGAATATCATGGGGCACCTTGTCAAATGCCTTGCTGAAATCAAGGTAGACTACATCCACTGCGTTCCCTTCATCTACCAGGCTTGTAATTCTGTCAAAAAACGAGATCAGGTTAGTAGAAGAAGAAGAAGAAGAGTTTGGATTTGATATCCCGCCTTTCACTCCCCTTCAGGAGTCTCAAAGCGGCTAACAATCTCCTTTCCCTTCCTCCCCCACAACAAACACTCTGTGAGGTGAGTGGGGCTGAGAGACTTCAAAGAAGTGCGACTGGCCCAAGGTCACCCAGCAGCTGCATGTGGAGGAGCGGAGACGCGAACCCGGTTGCCCAGATTACGTGACTACCGCTCTTAACCACTACACCACACTGGCTCTCTGACATGACTTATTTTTCAGAAATCCATGCTGACTATTGGTGATCACAGCATTCCTTTCTAGGTGCTCACAGACTGTTTGCTTAATGATCTGCTCCAGAATCTTCCCTGGTATTGATGTCAGACTGACTGGGCGGTAATTATTTGGGTCCTCTCTTTTCCCCTTTTTGAAAATAGGGACAACATTTGCCCTCCTCCAGTCTGCCGGGACTTCGCCTGTTCTCCAGGAATTCTCAAAGATGACTGCCAGTGGTTCTGAAATCACATCTGCCAGTTCTTTTAATAGTCTTGGATGCAGTTCATCTGGCCCTGGAGACTTGAATACATCTAGACTAGCCAAGTATTCTTGTACTATCTCCTTAGTTATTCTGGGCTGTGTTTCCTCTGCTGAATCATTTGCTCCAAATTCTTCAGGTCGGGCATTGTTTTCTTTATCGGAGAAGACTGAGGCAAAGAAGGCATTGAGGAGTTCAGCCCTTTCTGTGTCCCCTGTTTGCATTTCACCATCTTCTCCTCTGAGTGACCCCACGGTTTCTTTGTTCTTCCTTTTGCTACGAACATACCCATAAAAGCCTTTTTTGTTGCTTTTAACCTCTCTAGCAAGCCTGAGTTCATTTTGTGCTTTAGCTTTTCTGACTTTGTGTCTACACGTGCTGGCTATTTGTTTGAATTCCTCTTTGGTGGTTTCCCCCCTTTTCCATTTTTTGTACACATCCTTTTTTAATCTTAACTCAGTTAAAAGTTCTTTAGATAGCCACCCTGGCTTCTTTAGGCACCTTCCATGTTTCCGTCTCATTGGTATTGCCTGAAGTTGTGCTTTTACTATCTCCCTCTTAACAAACTCCCAGCCATCTTGAACTCCCTTTCCTTTTAGTATTACTGTCCATGGGATCTCACCCAGCACTTCCCTAAGCTTTATGAAGTCGGCTTTCTTAAAGTCGAGAAATTGAGTCCTAGTATGCTTGGCTGCTCCTTTCCGCTGTATAGTAAACTTCAGAAGAGCATGATCATGAAATGTGGCTCTCAAGCCTCTCTGGAGGCCTCCCCCCCCCCAGTGCTCTGGCTGGGCTGCTCACCTGGGCGAGATGGAGACAGATCAAAACCTCTCTGGCCCTTTGGTATGGCTGGAATGTCTGTTGCTTGGTCCACTTTGGCCTTTGGCACCCCCAGTCACGGCATGTGGCCCCGGAAGCTTCCTTGGGAGGGCATGTGGTTCTTGGGGCGGAAAAGGCTCCTCCTTCCTGTTTCACACCATTAGTTGAAAATGGGGCAAGGCTTGATAGAAACTGCCTTGGAATGTGTGTTGTGGGGGTGACAGAAGGAAAGTGTTTATTTTTATTTCTTTAAGAAGTGAATTTACTGAGTCAGTTTATAGGTGAAGACAGGAGCAGATCTATTTACAAACTTGGGATACGTGCCAGCGTTCCATCTTACTTGTCTGTGTTTATGCACTTATTCCCTGAGCTTGAAGATGAAATGGAAAGCACGACGGTCGGTGTGAAAATGCCCCAAACAGCAAACAAGCGAGCAAACAAAACAGTATTGGGCGGCTGGCAGGCCTCACCTGTCTGCTGCTTACCTGCCCGCGAAGGCGCTCTTCCTGCGGCGGCCACCAGGGGGCGGGGGCGGCAGGATCCGGGCGCGAGAGAGTCCGCGCGCGCGGCCGGGAGGAGACGGGCTTCTTCGCGGGCGAGCGCGGGAGGAGAGGCGCCTGCGGCTCCCCCGGCTTCTCCCGCCTGGCTCCGGACTGACTCCGCTTCCCTGCGCCCTCAGCCGGGACATCTCCCCGGGAGCCCCGAGAGACGGACAAGGTAAGGGAGGGAAGGAAGGGGACGCGCTCCCGCCGCGCCTCCCTCGCCTCTTTCTCGCTGGGAAGCGGGGCGGGGCGGGGGGGGGCTGCTCCTCTGACCGGGGCTTGCAGTACTAATTCTGCCCAACATTTTTTGTGGGGGGAGTTGGATTTAGGGAGAACGGCGGGCGGCCGCTTGAGCGCCCATGAGCCGAGCCAAGGGGAACGGGGAGGTTGTCTGTGTGTAAATGGGTCATCATCCGGCTCCAGAACTCTCTTGATTTCAAACATGTTCCCAACTCTCCCCGTGAAATCCAGGTGATTTGCAGCCCAAGGAGACTTATGCAGAAAGGTGTGCATTTACTTGGAGAATTTCAGCCTTAAGGTATGCAATTTCAGTTGGATCAGGTCCTCATTTGGCTGGAGGAATTGATCTGGCGTGGCACACCTGTTGTGCAGCTCCCTGATCCTGCACAAAAGCGATATACAGGGTGAGTCTTTCAAAAGAGGCTCCGTGGAACATGTGCACTCGGTATCCACGGGGCCTCTTTTAAAGAACTCACCCTGTATATATGATTCCATGCTGTTGCTTCAAAGGCTTCCTGTTTTATCTGCACACTCCCAAATTATGGCTGCATCCCCCACCTTCGCCTCTTGCAAGTGATCATTTCAGAATCACCTCCCCCTTTGCCCCCAGGCTCCAGCCATTGGAGGTATCCTAGTCACAGCAAGGGATAAATATGTGTGTCTAAAATGACTGGGGATGGGTGGAGTGGGGGGGGGGCGTGAACATGCCTTCCCCTTGGCTTTGCTCCATAGTTGAAGTTTGAAGTCTCTCATGATGGAAGGAGATAATTAGGAAGCTGGTTCCAGACAGAATGAAAGCAAAATGTCTGCTTTTTAAAAAGAGCGCACACCATTAATTACTCCAGGTTTTTTGCACTCTGGCAAGATACAAGCAGTGGGGCCAAGGAATGTGTCTCCGGTGAAAATGTGTGGCTGCCTTGAAATATGCACAGGGGCAGATTTGGCAGGACTTGTCTCCTTCCTCCACAGATTGCACCAGAATGAACGGAATACAACTCTGTGTGCATGTTTTGCCGGTTTACTTAGTTTTGTTTAATTGCATTTTGATCTTGCTGTTGCATGAAGGCAGCATTCAGGACAGCCTGCAGTCACTTCTCTTGATCCTCTCAAGGAAGCAGGATGTTGGATTGCAGATAGCTTTGGGAAAGGTGTGCTCTTTAAGAAAGACCCCCCCCTCCAATGAAGGCATCCCCCCCCCCCCCGTTATCAATGATTAAATGAATGCCAGCAGCTCAGATCCATTTGTTTTTCTTTTTTCTTTTAAATGGTTTTACCTGTGATTGTACCGTGTTACGGAGTATAATTTGGTAACCATAGAAATGCTCCTGGAAGTCATTGCTACTTCAGGAAATTAATCTTTGCCCAAAGTGGGCTTTTTATTCCCTGCCAAACAGCATCCCTTTGCCAAACAAAGATTATTATTTTTAATTGTCCTCTTCTGAAGACTAAAATCCAGGTATGGATTTTTCATGCAGCAACAAACAAAGAAACAGCCCCTTCATCTGATGTAGCTTCCGCATTCAAATATTCAGCAACAGCAGCAGCGACTGGACTTAACTGTCAGGGGTCCTTTACCTTTACCTTACTTCACCTTACTGGAACTCACTGCCGCAGGAGGCAGTGATGGCCCCCACCTTGGATGGCTTTCAAAGAGGATTGGGCAAATTCATGGAGGATCAAAGTATATCAAACTTGGGGCTTTCTCAAGGCAAAATGTGTGTCCTACCATGGAGCTATAGCCCCCTCCAAGTTTTCAGGACCTCTCAAATTCTTTGGTTCCTGCTATCTTCCGTTTCAGGTGCTGAAAGACGTCTCTCTGCCTGAGATTCTGGGGAGCTACTGCTAGCCAGCATAGACCAGGGATGGGAACTTGTGGCCCTCAAAGCCTTGCCAGATTCTGAACTCCAAGAAGCCCTCTGTGGCCAATGGTCAGGGAGAAGGGAGTTGGACCATAGAAAGGATTCCTGGGACTACGCAAACCAGTAGTTTGATTGGGTAATGCAATAGCTACAGATTTTCAGCAAACTGTTCTGAAGTGCTTGGGGAACCGGATTTTGAAAAGCAGGTAATTTGGCTGTAACCCCTCCATGCGGAACCAGCGCTAGTAGAGGCTGCTCCCTTGGGACTGTGCGTGGAAGGCAGAGAGTCCCACAGCAGGCGGCACCAGAGCCAATGTCAGGACCAGGCAACTAATTCTAGTTTGCCCTCCCTTCCCTGCTGGCCTAGGAGCCAACTGCTAGGGGCTGAGGTCCCTTGTCCCCCAATAAAATATAAGAGTGGGCTGGGTCCCCCAAAGTTGTCGGGCATTGCCATTCATATAGCGTGCATGCGCTGCATCTTGTCATTGATTATGTGGGTCAGGGCTTACCTGCCCCCCAATATTATATTCAAGTTGGCATCCCTGCCTGCTGGGTTCTGTGTGGGGCAGCAGCAGGACTAAGGAAGAGGCAGGAGCTGGTTGCCTGGGCCTTCCTGAACTGGGTGGGGGCTGGGGGCTGGCTTAGGACAGGCTGAAGTTGGCAGAGCAGCTTCCCATTTGCCCTCGTGGACCAGCCTTCACCAACCAGAGCCCTGTTTAAACACCATAAAGTGTATGCATGCATGCATGTTACAAATACTATTCCAGCATTGGTGAAAAACCTCGCATTGTTCTATCATTAAGCAAATGGCTAAAATATGACATAGCGACCATTTAGAAAGCAGTTTCCTCGAATATTTATCTAATCTCTGTCTTTATTTTTGTGACGGCAACCAGGCAATTGTCTTGCCCTCCCTGGGGGTTTCAGCTGATAGGCCAAATCTAATGACAGCCGAGTAATGTCAGCCAACCAGGATCCTGCCCCCCACTCTCTGCTGCAGGAATTATTTAATTTAATTTATTGCAGGCAAGTGCTTGCGTGTAACTTTATGCGAATGGTTATGGTTTCTAAACACCCATCCAGTTTGGAAACCAATGCAGGGTACCAATGTCTACTATATGTTTCGGAATGTGGTTTTGACCACTTGTTCTCTATAGGTTTGGCTACCTTTCAAGGTGTTGTCGCCAAACGTGGCGCAAGGGTTCCCGAGGTGGGGGCAGCAGTTGCTATTTATGTTTGGGTGCTGGGTGCCATTCTGAAGCAAGATGGTGGATCCAAATGTGACTTTTGGTCGCCTGCTTTTTTGGCACGATGGATGCAAACTCACAAATAGCACAGTGCAGTTAAAAACACAGTATTTTGGGGTTTCTACAAATTCCTGGGCAGCACTGGGCACTCTGCACTAGTTGCTGATAAACAACACTTGAAGACTCGCAGCTTGGTGGCTTTGGATTAGGGGAAGCGGGGAAATCCCTGAAAGGCATGGATGCTGTGCACAGGCCTCAAAGTCTGATCAGCTGTGCTTGAACCAGGGGAGGCCCAGGCAGTGTTAGCAATATGTGGACCACTGCTCTGACTTGGTATAAAGCAGCTCCCTATAATGGAGCAAATAATGATTCCTGAACACACCTGTGTGAATGAAACTGTCCCTTGGCAGATACCTTTTTGCATTTTTATACACGTTCCCTTCCACCTGGGCCACGTGCAGAGGAGAGAGCCAGTCTTCGTCAGGTTAGCACTTAGAAGCACAATTTTGGGCTGTAGGATTTGCTGCCTGCCTGCAGCGCATGTTGAATGAGGGATGTCATCAACGCTGGCACGTCTGCATTGAGTTGAATGTTTCTGTTGGCTTTCGCTCCATTGCTTTGTACAGTTCCCTGGGTTCTCTCTCTCTGTGATTTGGTTTCTGAGCAAAGTGAGAACCTTTGGGTTCCTCTGGTCTCAGAGACATCTAATTAGTAGCGACTTGAAGGTAAAGGTAAAGGGACCCCTGACCATTAGGTCCAGTCTCAGACAACTCTGGGGTTGCGGCGCTCATCTCGCTTTATTGGCCGAGGGAGCCAGAGTACAGCTTCCAGGTTATGTGGCCAGCAGGACTAAGCCGCTTCTGGTGAACCAGAGCAGCACACAGAAACGCCGTTTACCTTCCCGCCGGAGCAGTACCTATTTATCTACTTGCACTTTGATGTGCTTTTGAACTGCTAGGTTGGCAGGAGCAGGGACCGAGCAACGGGAGCTCACCCTGTCGTGGGGATTTGAACTGGCTGGTACGTGCCAGTAATTTGTAGTGGCACCTCTTTTTTGTTGTAGTTTCCGAGTCACCTTCAAAGGAAGCCCCACTGAAAATCAAGGGAATGGGCCCCATTCATAGCAAGGAATTTGAGGCACTGCATGCAGATTCTGCCCTAACCTTTTATCTTCACAGCAACCCTGCAAGGTGGGTTGGGGGGGGGATTCTCCTTGGATTCAAATCCTGGTAATGTCTGGACATATGGCAGCCCTATCTTTGAGCTTGGGGGCGGCAGCGCTGGTGGGAGAACTAGGGACATTCCAGGATCAGATTAGAAGCCAGAGTGGCTTTTGTAAATCTGAGACGGTCCCTGGAGAATTGGGACACTTGGAAGGTATGAAGCACCAGCTCAACCTGATTGAGGCTTTGTTTCTGGGAATCGCCATAATCTCTTCCATCCTTCCTGCCTTCCCTGAAGAAGAGCTTGGAGGCGCATCAAGAGCAGCGATGCCTTTTGTGAGATATGTTGCCACAAATAATCAAAACGATTCTCTGCTTGAAAATGACCCACCCAGCCTTTTCACCATGCCAGTAAATCTGCTAGCAGTTAAGAGCTGGCTTCCATTGTGTGCGTGACCAGATGTTTTAATAAGGTCATATAAGCTCTTCAAAAAGGAACACAATATATGTTGCATTCACCGGTGTGGTTGCCCTGACGCAGCTTAATGTATGAGGTGAGCCATTTGACCAAGGGTGAGGAGTTACAATTCAGAGACCAGCCTTCACCACTCTGGTGCCCTCCCTGTGTTTGGGACTACAACTCGCATTGACCAGGGCTGATGGGAACTGTAGTCCAAAACATCAGGGTTATTATTTACCTTCCCCTTCACCCTAAGGCCCCAGGGTGGATTACAACATAACAACACAATATTAAATACATCTTAAAGCAGCTTACAGTCACACCCAAAAATGCACCCCTCAAGTGTCAAGAGCCAGGGCAAAGAATTGCTATATAGTGAAGGTGCAGAAAAGTAGACAGTAAAACCTCAGCAAACCCTGGGATTCCCTCACCCTTTATTTTAAAAACAAAAACACTGAGTGGCAGGAATATAACGTGGCAACAATATTATAGAGCAACACAAATGGATATGTGATAAACGGATGCCCATGTAATAATAACCTGTGCCCTGGTCCCTGATATGCTTGCTTTCCACAGCCAGGGGATTCTTGATGTTTGAGAGCATTTAATCCTATGATTCCTGCACTTGCATGTTGAAGTGGTACAGTTCCAGCAGACCCGTACCTTTTCCATGTAGATCATCTCTATGGCCAAAGACAGCACTGCGTCCCTACCAGTGTTTGGAAACCACAGGAGGAGAGATTGCTTTGTGCTCAGTCCCTGCTTGCAGGTTCCCTGCAGGCGTCTAGTTGGCCCTTGTGAGAACAGGATGCTGGACTAGATGGGCCACTGGCCGGATCCAGCAAACTCCTCTTATGTTCTTAAACCAGAGGAGGACCACCTTGGAAGTTAGATGCTTCACTTTTGTCACTTGATGGCAACGTTCAACCCATGCCAAACAAGGCCGTGCTTGAAGGGCTGCAACCCAGGAGTCAGTCTTCCCCTTTCTCAGACCGAAGGTGCCACTAAAAATGTTTATGGTATTCTGCTTAGAGAGCTGGGTTTTCCCGTTTCAGGAAAGGGAGTGGAAGCTTTAATATAGCCTGATAGATGCCAAACATTTGCTTTAGAAACAGAAAAAGGTAGCTCCTCGTCCCATCTCAGACAGTGGTTGTCATTAACAGGGTGAGGTTGTGGAATAATGTTTCCTGCCACACTTTTTTCCACGGTACTGTACGGAAGTACCTTTGACCACGGCAACATAATTTTTCACTGGGTTTCGGGTTGGCCATACATCATCCTGACATGCACTGCACTTTAATCTCTGTGTACACATGCTTGCAATTAGCCGCGTGGAAGTATTTATTGTTTCCTAAGGTCTTGCTAATAAGATGGATCATAAACTTTTAAGAGAAGCTAGCAAGCTAGGCTTTGGTTCCATCTAGAATATTAATACTGCAGCTGAACCACAAATCCTCTGAGAATAGCAATTTGCTTTGGGATACCATCATGTTGCTGTTGGCACTCTCTGGTTCCTGAAAAGTTCACGGTGGTGAAGGGTGGGATCGCTCAGCTTCAGACGTTCCAAGCAAGCAGAACAGGAGGAAGGGTTGCGTTTCTTTTTCTCTACATGTCTCTATGCAATCTTTGGAAGTAGTTACAGATTAGTGCATTTGGGCATATTTCAAGTTTGCAAGCTTTGATTGGTTTTAATTGGTAGATAATTGGACTCAAGCTTTGGCTGGTTGATTGGTAGCAAACTTTGAGAATTAGCAGTGCAACTCTAAGGCCCAGATTTGCTGGCTGGAAGGGGGAGGGAGGAGTAGAGGAGCTTTTCCGGTGGTGGAGAAGAGCTTTGATGGTGGAGGGGTCTGTCCACTCCAGAGTCTCCTCCCCTGCTTGCATTTCAGCATGGAGCTAGCATGGCAGTGGCCCCTGAAATGAGGCATTCTTGGGGCGAGTGCCCCAAAGGATTTTCAGCCTTGAAACCAAGATGGATTTGATTGTTGGGGAGGCCCCAGAATCCGACCCTCCCTCTTGCCAGACTGATCATAGAATCATAGAGTTAGAATAGACCACAAGGGCCATCGAGTCCAACCCCCTGCCAAGCAGGAAACACCATCAGAGCACTCCTGACATATGGTTGTCAAGCCTCTGCTTAAAGACCTCCAAAGAAGGAGACTCCACCACACTCCTTGGCAGCAAATTCCACTGTCGAACAGCTCTTACTGTCAGGAAGTTCTTCCGAATGTTTAGGTGGAATGTTTAGATCCCCCATGAGAACTGG